CATTGGTGCAGACTGGGAGAAAGGAGGTAATGTGACAGGAGTGGAGACTGTGGGCATTTGGGTCACGTCTTAATGCAGCTTCCTTGTTCCTTCAGGTCCTGTTTTAGCCCGATCTTGTATATACCACTTCCATTTAACAATGGAGTGTTGCTGTGCACGTCCAACTTTATGGCTCTGTGGATCAGACAATACTCAGTTCATGATGGCCCATGGTGAGGCGTTCAGTCTCCACCAAGGCCCAGTAACAGGCCAACAGCTGTTTTTCAAAGGGGGAGTAGTTGTCTGCAGAGGATGACAGGACTTTACTCCAAAATCCCAATGGTCTACGCTGTGATTCACCAACAGGGGTCTGCTAAAGATTCCACACTGCATCTTTATCTACAATTGATACATCACACCTAGCACCATTGGGTCAGCTGGATCATATGATCCCAGTGGCAAAGCAGCCACACACTGGTCTGATCATCAAAGAGCAAGAGACAAGAAAGGAAAGGCTCGCCGAGCCATTTATCTCTCCACCCTTCAATTAATCCCACCTGTGTTCATTGGCCATATTGGCATAATAAACCTACCTATCTTAGTGGGGGACACCTGTTATACTATTTGACTCTTTAATACATTTCACATATTATCTTAATAAAATAGACCCATTCAAAATTAAAATGCATAGTGATTGTGTTAGTCCGGGTTGACTAGAGAAATCCAGATGCACGCAAATGCGTATAAGAAAGAGCTTTATATAAAGAGTCATTGTATATTAAGAAAACATCCCAGCTCAGGCCAGATCAAGTCTATAAGTCTGATATTAGCCCATATGTCCGATACCAGTCTATAAATTCCTCTTCAGACTCATGCAACACATGCTGCAATGACGCTGAATACAGCAAGATCACAAGCCAGTAGGTAGAAAATCTTGTAGATCCAGTGGTGGTGGAAGCATCTCAGCACTGGCAAGGGCCCCCACGTAGCTTCTACAGCGCCAGGACTCTAGAGTAGCTCCATGTGTCTTGTCAGCAGGAAAATGAAGCAGAGCATCTGTGTGTATCTGACCTCCGGTGAGCTATTTATCTCCCTTGAGCCTCCAAATGAGGTCATCAAGCTGCGACCTGATTGACAGGCTGAACTCCACCCCTTCTCAAGTTGACACCAGATTATGTAACTACCACAGTGATGCATTCCCCACCCCCCAACACTATTCCATTTGCTAAAGGGTTCTGCTCTCTTTTTGACTCTGTTTAGTTTTGGAGCGTCAAGGTTTTCCCTTTGTCAAAGGTTCATCATTCTTTCACCCCGTGGTCCAGCGTGCACACAGGATGAGGATTGCATAGCCAGAGAGATGCGTTCATCTTTGACGTTCGCTGAA